CAGGATAAATTATCATTTTTTGTTCCTGGGATAAATTTGATATACTCCCCTGGTAAAATTAATCCATCGAACATCTAAATTAAAATTTTTTCTTAACTGACGGTTTGGTTACAAGTAGTTGTTGCAACCGGGCCTGAGCCTTTCAGGGCCGGTTGCACCAGCTACTTTTAACCAAATCGTCAATTAAGAAAAAAATTTAATTTAGATGTTCGATGGATTAATTTTACCAGGGGAGTATCTCAAATTTACCCCATGAACAAAAAATAATAATTTATCCTGGGGTTAAATGCGTGTTAACTCAGATGGGGCGATCTGATAAATAAAAAATTATTCATTGGGTCAAATATCAAGAAATTTTAACCCCTAGGATATAATTTACCCTGAGGATAAATTTTATCCTGGGATTTATTTGGTTATCAGGCCTTTGTGCAACCGGCCCTAAACAAAATAAGAAGACTACTAATAAAATGAAATGCGTATTCAAATACGTTCATCTCCCATTTTGAAATTTAGGTTAACCAACAATACAAACGGACCTTCCAACGTGCAGTGGGATAGTGACGAAATCAAATTATACAGGGTAAAGATTAATTTCTATTTGCAAATATATTTTTTTCGACAGTGAATGTAGAAAGTATCAAATATACCACGAAGTGGAGAGGAGAAATTTATATGTACGAAAATTTTGTGAATACACAGAAGAAAAAAAATACGTGAAAAATTGTTTTTGTTGTCGTCTGGGATAGTTATTTTTTTGTTAATAAATTAGCAATATACTTCTGAATAGTTATTCTTAATTACATTTTATTTTATTGAATATAATAATTCGTTTATTGATATATAATTGACTAAATTCGTAACATTATATTTGAAAAAAAAACCGTATTGGTTCATATCGATTCAATTCTTTTTTGTGCATTCATGTGAGATATAGGGCCGGTTGTACAAAGGCCTGATAACCAAATAAACCCCAGGATAAAATTTATCCTCAGGGTAAAGTATATCCTAGGGGTTATAATTTATTGGTATTTGACCCAATGAACAATTTTTCATTTATCAGGTCGCCCCATTTGAGTTAACACTGTGACGAGGTATATTCATTTATTTTTTATTATTTTTCTACATATTTTTTCCCACTACACACTTCCCCCTAAAAGGTAAATCCCACCACCGTTGGATACCCCTTCCCTCACTTTTCCCCTCATCGCCCCTCTGCCCCTGCCCCTGGACATCACGAAGACACCAGCCGAAGGAAGACATCAGTTCCGGCCCCACCCGATCAATTGGAGAAGCCATCACCTCCTGGAAATTCCCCGTACTAGACCCCCGAATATTCACCACCAGCAATAATCCCTTGCGAGACATCCCTGGATTGTGATCATCGTCACCACTCACCCGTGCTGATTGGCCCCGATCGCTCCCGAATTAAAACCCGAAGGACATCGACACCTGACGAACCCCCACGAATCGCGAAGGAAAAGAAGAGACCGTCACTCGTGCATTAGCTGCCCCGTGAGTCGCCACGTGCCCCGAAAGTAGTAATTGTGAATACAGTGAAATTCGCCCGGAAGTTATTTGGCGGATAAAAAGAGGACTTTTGATACATCGAGCTCATCCCA